CTGCACCACGTGGGTGCGATGGAATAAGGTAAGAGATTGTGACACATACCCTACTATTAAAGTGGACTTTAAATGATTTGCTCCCAAATAAATATATATATATATATATATATATATATATATTTATTTATTTATTTTTTGAGAAAACAAACATTTGCCTTATTTTGTTAAAAGGTTACTCCAATCCCCATGGCCACTTCTGCTTTTTGAAGTGGTCATGGTGATAGGTGTGTGGATGTGCAGTGTTTCTTCTTGAAGCACTGCAAATTCAGAGATATTTGCACTTGTGTTCCGGGGCTAGTTACAACCCCCTGCAAACATGACTTAGGCAGCTCAGAACTCAGAAGCTGCCTAATATTATTTCTATGCATATTTTATGTCAATGCTTATCCCTTGATAGTGTTTCCACCTCCCTATCCAGACAGCTATTTATTTTTCTTTCCATCTATATTTTGGATCGGACAGGCCTCTTGTGCTGGGGTTGGGCCAACCATAGATGCGGCTCTGTGCATCTCATTTCTGCATCTCTACTGCCCTCCAACACATTTTTTTTTTCCCCTAACTCTCACACTCCAGTCTTTCTTGGCTTTCTTTCTCTGGCTCTTTCTTCTTTCTAAGCTATCACCTCCATCTACTTCACACTGTTTTACTTACTCACATTAAACAACCTCTATTGCGAGTTCCTCTCTCTAATTCAGTTTTTCCCTTATTCACTCTGGGGCTACATGTTACTCTGAACATACAGGGAGTGCAGAATTATTAGGCAAGTTGTAATTTTGAGGATTAATTTTATTATTGAACAACAACCATGTTCTCAATGAACCCAAAAAACTCATTAATATCAAAGCTGAATATTTTTGGAAGTAGTTTTTAGTTTGTTTTTAGTTTTAGCTATGTTAGGGGGATATCTGTGTGTGCAGGTGACTATTACTGTGCATAATTATTAGGCAACTTAACAAAAAACAAATATATACCCATTTCAATTATTTATTATTACCAGTGAAACCAATATAACATCTCAACATTCACAAATATACATTTCTGACATTCAAAAACAAAACAAAAACAAATCAGTGACCAATATAGCCACCTTTCTTTGCAAGGACACTCAAAAGCCTGCCATCCATGGATTCTGTCAGTGTTTTGATCTGTTCACCATCAACATTGCGTGCAGCAGCAACCACAGCCTCCCAGACACTGTTCAGAGAGGTGTACTGTTTTCCCTCCTTGTAAATCTCACATTTGATGATGGACCACAGGTTCTCAATGGGGTTCAGATCAGGTGAACAAGGAGGCCATGTCATTAGATTTTCTTCTTTTATACCCTTTCTTGCCAGCCACGCTGTGGAGTACTTGGACGCGTGTGATGGAGCATTGTCCTGCATGAAAATCATTTTTTTCTTGAAGGATGCAGACTTCTTCCTGTACCACTGCTTGAAGAAGGTGTCTTCCAGGAACTGGCAGTAGGACTGGGAGTTGAGCTTGACTCCATCCTCAACCCGAAAAGGCCCCACAAGCTCATCTTTGATGATACCAGCCCAAACCAGTACTCCACCTCCACCTTGCTGGCGTCTGAGTCGGACTGGAGCTCTCTGCCCTTTACCAATCCAGCCACGGGCCCATCCATCTGGCCCATCAAGACTCACTCTCATTTCATCAGTCCATAAAACCTTAGAAAAATCAGTCTTGAGATATTTCTTGGCCCAGTCTTGACGTTTCAGTTTGTGTGTCTTGTTCAGTGGTGGTCGTCTTTCAGCCTTTCTTACCTTGGCCATGTCTCTGAGTATTGCACACCTTGTGCTTTTGGGCACTCCAGTGATGTTGCAGCTCTGAAATATGGCCAAACTGGTGGCAAGTGGCATCGTGGCAGCTGCACGCTTGACTTTTCTCAGTTCATGGGCAGTTATTTTGCGCCTTGGTTTTTCCACACGCTTCTTGCGACCCTGTTGACTATTTTGAATGAAACGCTTGATTGTTCGATGATCACGCTTCAGAAGCTTTGCAATTTTAAGAGTGCTGCATCCCTCTGCAAGATATCTCACTATTTTTGACTTTTCTGAGCCTGTCAAGTCCTTCTTTTGACCCATTTTGCCAAAGGAAAGGAAGTTGCCTAATAATTATGCACACCTGATATAGGGTGTTGATGTCATTAGACCACACCCCTTCTCATTACAGAGATGCACATCACCTAATATGCTTAATTGGTAGTAGGCTTTCGAGCCTATACAGCTTGGAGTAAGACAACATGCATAAAGAGGATGATGTGGTCAAAATACTCATTTGCCTAATAATTCTGCACTCCCTGTATGTCATAAACAATTCTTCAGACCACAAGCATATTTCAAACTGTCTGGGATCGCTTTTTTTCCCAAGGGGTTGACAGAGGAGGCTTTTCCCTTAGCAATGCATGGTTACCCATGACTTACTGATGATAAGACTGCCTAATTCCCTAATGGAAAAGCTTAGATATGCTCGAATTTCTGTTAAAGTTGTTGTACTGTTTTCATTAGTTGCAGGAAAAGCCTAACTTCAGCAATGATAACCACCAGAGTATTCATGTGCTTAGAGATATTACAACCATTATAAACAAGTGCACTTTCCATTGTTATTTATTCTATTAACTAACATTTTCTCTTCAGTAAACATGGATTGCTTAATAAACTCTAGGACAGTTCCTATTTGGAACCTACAGCTCTCTTACTCTCTCATGCTGGAGTAATATTCCACATGGCCCTAGAACAG